CCCTCACCATATCGTGCCGGCTGAGCAGGATCGAAACATGCTTCACCCCTCGCGACCGTCCCTCTTCATCATTTATCATGTCAGCCCTCTAATGACACCACCTGTGTCAACAGCAAGGGGTCCTCAGCGGTATGTGTGTGCATGCGCTCCCCTTTCCGCGTGGATTTATGTTTACTCGCATGCTCGCACAGGTCACATCTGGCCCGGCAACATGAGAACCCTCCTCCTCCTCCTCCAGCATGTTAACTTTCACACGCACAGTCCTCGCCTCTAAGGGATGCTTCCCCCTCATCCATGTTTCGTGTCATCTCCCATTCGCCGACATCCGTCTCTGTCTTGTGACATCGCTCATGTCGAGGTGTGAGCCGCCGGCAGGGATGACGGATGAGAGCCGACAGAGCCTTTCATCCAGGATGTGACCTTCTCAAAAATGGCTTGCTTTCCAAAAAATGGCTGCTTCGTTTACATGTTTATCTCTGCTATTTGATCGCTTGAGTTTATGAACAAATTAAGTCATTTATATAAATAGAAAGCTGTAATGCGGCATAGAGTTATCAACCATACAAATAACGCTCTCTGGTTCTGACACAATTGTTATGGGAGAAAGTCTGCTGTCATTCAGTTCTCTTTTATTTTTCTCTGACTTAAGTATTAGAAAGTAAAAAGGGCCAATTTCTACATAGAGCTCATCTGCCCCCAAAACGGATGTCTAAGTTTAAACCAGAGTCTTCTTCACTTTGCCCTAAATGCAAAATACATGAGGCAGCCTCACACGCTGTCTCTGGACCTGCCTAAGATCCAGATATACTGGGAATCTATTCTGGTGGAAACTAGGACAAATAATAAAACCTATATCGATCTCTATCCAGTATCTCTTCTTCTTGGTCTACCAAACAAACATATCCAAAATCAAAACAAGAGCAATTTGTATAATGTCCTATTTTCTTGTCCTCGAAAGAATATTTTGTTACATTGGATCTCTGATAAATCTCCTTCTATTTTTGGGTGGAAGAAGTTTATTTTAGAATATATCCCTCTTGACTTTCTATTGGCCTTGTCCACTCTAAGACTGACACTTTTGGACGCATATTGAAGCCCTTCCTGGACTATGCCGAAGGACACGTGTCTACCATTCTGTCGCAAGACTTTATAAATGCTTAGATTTGGACCCTGTGATGATGCAAATGTGTGTGCTCCCTATCTTAACTTCTCTTTTCTGCACTGCTGAGCTTGTGTTCTATGTTATGTTGTTGTTAAACAAAAATTTATGAACATATCTATAAAAAAAGGAAGTAGAAAGTATTCTGATTGGAGTTTTATTGATATTGATTTCTTATTTCATTTTTTATTGAACTTTATTAATCTCACATTGGAGAAATGTGCATCTGCATTTAACCCATCCCCTTGGGGAGCAGTGGGCTGCCATTGTGCGGCGCCCGGGGAGCAGTGTGGGGTTAAGGGTCTTGCTCAGAGACCTAGAGTGGCAGTCTGTGGGAGGGGGGCTCAAACTGAGAACCTCAAGATTCCAAACTCTATGCCCTATGCACTCTAACCACTAGGCCCCCACTCCCTTGAAGTTTTTCTTTGAACTTCAGCAGCTTGTTGCCTTTTTTATGCCTAATAATGAACCCTTAGTATAGTTCTTATAAGATTCTTCCGTAAACCATTTCAAAGCTAGCATCAGAGTAACAGTGATTGTTGTCCCCTTGCATGGGCTGCCAGTTCATCTGTTCTAGTTATAAAAACTTTTCCTGTTAACATTTAGATTGAAAATTGCACCAGAGCCTGGCGCTTTTTCACTGTTATTGATTGATTGATTGATTGATTGATTGATTATGTTGTTGTTGTTTTGGTGTTGTGTCCTGTGTTGTTTCCAGAAATCGTGAACGATAGCTAAAAGTAAAAACTAATACTGCTAGTTAACATGTTGAAGTAGACATTATTATGTTATCAGTAATGTAACATAAAGAAGCATAGCTTGTAAAAAATTAATAATATATGATCCATTAAAACACATGACCACACTGTGTCTCTGCAATGTGAGCTGAGTTTATACTCGTACCCATGCGTTGGGGGGAGGTCACTGCTTAACCAAACTCTGCTAGAAGAGCAGACTAGTAGAATTGTTGACTTACTGATTTATGTTTTTTAAAAAATAAGTGAAATGTTGTTTATCTTACTATTGAGGGGAAATATTTAGCAGGAAAATTAAAGGTTGCCCCTGAGAGGCTCTATTAGTGCCTGGATTTGTTTTGCATCCGAAGTCTGGAGTTGTTGTTTTTTTTTTTTCACTATGCTATACCTTTTGAGTTTCCTCAGCTTTGATTTTAACTCTCTTTCATGTAAAAGTTCACAAAATGTTTGAAGATTTTTTTTCTGTCAGAAATCTAAGAGTTAATTAGTCCTTCCCTACATCAGGTAACATAACAAAAGCAGACAACTTTCTGCTTGACTTTGATAGTTGTGTCCATTTTAAATGTTTCTACTGTTATCTTTTTTTTCTTATTCCGTCACTTTCTGATGTAACACCTTCATACACAGCTTACTGTCACGATATCTCCAACTGATATGAGTTTGAAATTGAAATGCCTTCACCAAACTGATCTGTGTATCACAGAACAAACAACAGACATTTTAGCGGCTAGCTAGCGGTTAGCTAACGGTTAACCACGCTAAAAACAATCATTAAACCGCTCTCTGAAGGTTTTTTTTTTTCTCTTCAAAGTTAAAGTGCATAATTTCAATCCATTTGAACCAGTGCTGTTTGGCGAAACTGTTTAATTCACAGTTTTGACCAACAAAAAGGAAACTGTTTGCATTCTCAGGCTTTTGTTTTGTAAAAAGAAAAAAAAATGTCCTGCTCTCCTGCTTGCTGGGTGGGGAAAGTCCACCTTTTAAAACAAGAGTGACGGCAAATGAAACAAAACCAGAAACATTCATCTCTTAAATCTGGATATATATATTGAGAATAAAAAAATAAAGAATAAAGAATGCGTTTAGGATCCAAAACTTTAACCTTTAGCCAAAAAAAATCCTTAAAAAAAACATTAAAAAAAGGTTAAGGGAAGTCTAAAAATAGGTAGGCTAATAGATGTAACCAAACAGCTCAAACGTTTCTGTTAAAAGAAATAAACATCTCTGCTGTTTCACAGGCGGATAAACTAACATTAAAAACTACTGTTTAAATGTGACTGACCTTTATTACCTCTATAATTAGATGGAAAAACCTTTGACAATATTAGTCTAATTTGTTAAAGTTGTCTTAATCCAATTTAAGGAAACTCTTTGACAATTTGTTTTTAACATTAACTCATTTTGGACACTTTTTCCAAAAAAAAAAAGAAAGTTAAAAATATTCCACTGGACTTTGTTTCCAGTTTTTGTTATGTTTTCTTATACTGCAAGAAAACTAATATTTAGGACAGTATATACAGGCAAATAAATCTGTGGATTTCTGTCTGCGTGTGAATGTTTTGCAGCTTTGCCTCAGTTTGTTTGTTAGTTCATCTCTTTATACGTTTTGTTTCATGTTGACATGTTCAAATTGCCAGAGACAGCCAGTAAATACAAGTCAAACTCAACGCAGGCCCAGATGGGACCCACAGGGAAAGAGAAGACAGACGTCATTGGTTTCGCCTCAGAAGGACAAATATTGTTTTCTTTAAAATATATCTGGATAAATTGGTGATTTTCATTGACTCCATATGGGCTACTGAGCCCTCTACAAAAACTGACACATAGGTGAAAGTTTTAAAGCATTCCTATTTAAAGGTTTTTAAGGTGCTTTAAAGGAAATTAAAGATTTAAAAGTCTGTAAAAATGGATACAAATAAATTAAACTAAATCTCGCCTATTCCAGCTGCATAGTCTTGTAAAGTTTTTATTTCAAATGCAACCTTTAGTTTTAGAGGTGGAAACAACAAGTGTAAAGAGATATTTTTTTCATCAATAGCATTTAATCAGTTATCCTTCACCAATACAGGGATCTATTCCTCTCAACCACCATTCAGAACAGGAAATGCAATAAAAGATGCTTTTCAATACTAAAGCAGAGGACTGCCCACCTCAATTGTTTGATAATGACATAATGATAAGGTAGGTAGAGGAGATAATAGAATAAAATAAAAAAAAAAAAAATATCCAAAGCTGGTTATTTAAAAGCAGCATTAGGACCTTAAAGTCAGCGCGCTGTTTACATGCAAGCTGGTTATTTTGAAGTAATAGCAGGAAAAACTGGAAACACTGATCCTGGTTCTGGTTCTGTTGGAGATTTCTTCCTATTAAAAGGAAGTTTTCCTCTCCACTGTCGCTACAAGCATGTTTGGTGTGAAGGATTGCCTTTGAATCAATGGGTCGATGCAAACAGCTGTTTTACCTTAGATAGAAAGCTTTAAACCGATCCGACTGTATGATCTGGTTGAATTGTCTCTGTAAAGTGTCTTTGACATGACATGTGTTGAGAATTGGCGCTATATAAATAAACTGAATTGAATTGGATTGAAAAAGCCATTTTTATCCCTTAATTTACTCAAATCTGCTTGGACTTAACCTGCCATCGTGAACTTTGTTTAGATGAGGATATTTTTTCCTGCAGTAACGCTCCAGGTGTGTCGAATGTGAAGCAAAGAAATACTGTATGTAGAGAACCCCCTTATATCCTTGGTAGAGTAAAGAGGTGGATCTGTGATGTTGATTGGCTGTTTCTCCTCATTTGAAAGCAACACCGATAAAGGATCAGTTTTGCCTGTTTCAGTGTTTATTCAGCTCTGACTTCAGAAAATAACCTGGAGGCTTGGAAACAATATTTTCAAATGATGAGGGGATTAGAAATAAGTGTTGTTCTCTAATTCTATTGTTATATATTCAAGTTTCAAAACTCAAGTGAGGCTGAAACACATTGTGAGGCTTTACTGTCCTCTGATCTTGTTTCCTTTAACAAAAAATATACTGATTTCAAGGATGTTTTGGATCCTTAAAATCATAATCTGTGTCCTCCTCAGGTCCAGAATGCTCCAGAAACTTCACTGCTTCCAGCGGCATCATTGAGACACCAGGATTTCCTGACAAGTACCCAAACAATCTGGACTGCACCTTCATGATATTCGCCGCCAACATGGCAGAGATCGTTGTGGACTTCAACAGTTTCGACATGGAACCAGATACAACGCCGCCGCCCGGCGCCGTCTGCCGATACGACTGGCTGGAGATCTGGGATGGCTTCCCTGCAGGTGAGGAGGCTGAAGCAGATATTCATTAAACACCCGAAATCACACAGGTTAACAACTTAGCTTGAGTTTTCAGCTGTAAACATGAAGGAACTTAACTAGCTTACTTTTTATAGATAGTTTAGAAGTTTGTATCAGATTTCATTAGTTTTACTAAAATCAATTATAAAATAAGCTAACCTAATAAATGTATATTTACATCTGATGCTAATTTAGCTCAGAATTTCCTAATTTTTACACTGAATATATATGAATTATTGGGATTGTTAACTACTAAACATTTTGATTAGAACTGTTCAGATGCTGAAAGAGATACTTATATTTAGAATTAAACTGAGTTTTATTTACTTTTTGGTGTGGCTTTAATTCTAAAACGTTAACTTTCTAATACGTTGGCATAAATTAATGTAACTAGTTTACTAATAAAAATGTATCCTGCCTTTTATCTATACTGGGAGTTTGACATTTTCCAACTTCTAGCAGAAAATTTCAACTGGAAAATTACTTAAGTGCAATAATTAACTGGTTCAACTTTGATCTAAATTTAGTGCAGAACTTTAAAATTTTCAAGACAATGCCCCGTACCTGTCTATGTCTCTGAAAGGGGGTCGTTAAAGGGAATTGTTGGCCTGGCTGAATAGGCAAGGTTCTCCGCTCTCCTGTACAGAGGGTAGGGCTGTGGTGATAGAGGCAAGGGAACATCATGTCTGCCATGAGTGTACAGCGTTACATAGCTGAGACCTCAATTCAACCAGTGCGACAGATGTTGTTGAGTCAGACGCAGTCATATGTTCAAGCTTTTAAAAATGTTTAGTCCTTGATTTTTAGATTAAGAAGGAAGGACATGATTTTAGATCACCTTTGACACTGGAAGAGGGTAAGAAGAGTGGTGAGAACAGCAGAGAAGATCATCTGGGCTCCTCTTCCCTCTATTAAAAACATTTCATCTCAGTGCTGTGTGTCCCGAGCCCGTGACATCATCAATGACCCCTCACACCCCCACCATGGACCGTTGTCCCTGCTGCCCTCTGGGAAGAGGCTTCGAAGCATCCGATGCAGATCCAGCTGGTTCCAGAACAGTTTCTTCCCCACTGCCATTAGAAGAAAAAATAACACCCTGAATGTTGCAATCTTTAAATCATATAGCAGTATTATGTTTACATTTATCATTGCTGCACTTTAAAAATCGAAATGTCTTGCGAGCTATACTGATCGAAATTTCTTTTTGTATACTCTATGTGTGTACAAAATGACAATAAAATCTGTGTAAGTCTAAGTAAGTCCTGTTATAAGGTGCATTCTTTGTAATTATCCCGATGTAAACAACAATTATACAGCATTAAGTTGATTTTTTTCTTGTATTTCTAAGTACCATATTAAATTACTTACATGGATTACTATAACTGGTTTAACACCAGTTTCAGAAATCCAACCTGTGAGCAGTAATTAATTTAATTTGCTCATTTTAAGCTCTGAACACGATTTCGTGTCTAATCCAACAGGAAATCATATCGTAAGAGGTCATGGTATTTAGCGCTCATTGAGAGTAAATGGGGATGAACACAGCGACGCGATTTTCTGCAAGTGGGGCTCCAAACGAGATAGACCCCAGGTCTATTTTAGTCGGACTACAACAGAGTTGTGTAGACTTGAGGAAGAGAGAAGCTGTTGTAGGGTTAAACACATCAGCTTTTGGAATATGTAAAGTAAAATCTATCAGTTGCAAGGGAAAAGAGTCAGGTTTGCCTCCTTTGGAATCACACTGGAAACTGAAAGAAAAACTGAGTGGTCAAGGTTACTCCTTGTGAAAAAAAAAAAAAAGAGATCACAAAATGAGTTGGCATCATTAGCTGTAGTTGAGTTAAATTTCCTGTGAACTCTGGATCTAAATGTGGCTCACTTTCTTCCAACATTAAAGTGAAGTAATGAGGAATTAAGTGTTCATCTGGTCAGGAAGGTGTTCCATGTTAGATTGATCAAATCTTTCCTTCAGAATAAACCCTGGAGCTCAACTGGTTCTTGATAGTCGAAATATTCAGAAAGAAGTGCTTTAAACTGGAGTTGAGAAAATGAGTAATAAACCAGAGCTTCCACTAGGTAATAATCATCACTCCAAACCAAATTCTCCTTTGCACAAATGGCAGCTGGATGTACTGAAAGTGTAGGGGGGGACTCCTACGCAGCTTGCTCATTGTTCCTTCACCGACCACATTTGGAAAATCGGCACATGAATGACGGAGACGCAACCTGCTCAACCCTCTGTTCACTCCACTCCGCTAGCTTGGACGGCTCATCTCAGCCTCCATTGTTGCCTAATTAGCCGTACAGCGTGCAGATAATCGTCAGAGCAGCACACCTCGGCCTGGTACTGTGACTGCTGCCAGCGATGGCCCACAGTACTCACCGAGGTATCCAGAGAGCCTTCTCTCCCCGATTATTGCCAGGGAGGAGACAGGCATGGCAACATAAGGGACATTTGGACTGGCACAGGTACACTGATATTGACATGCACTTTAAAGCTGTGCCAGTGTTCCCAACCTGCCAGGACTCTTCCTGTCAAACGATCTGTGATTGTACGTTTGTCAGTGTGCATTCAGGTGCATCTGTGCTGAAGAACGTGCGTGGGTTTGTTTGAGCCAAGCGTTCCCGTGTTGTCAGGGAAGATAAGGGAGCATCTCTGCAGGAGGGTTCAGACTGACGTGTTGTTTGTCATGGACTGATAACACAGACTTCTAAGGACTGGATTATGGAGCTTTCTTCTCCTGTTCTTTCAGCTCGGTTCCTTTGATTAAAATGCTTTTTATAATTAGACTAAATCAGACATCTGCAGCTATATATATATATATATATATATATATATATATATATATATATATATATATATAAAGTAGCATTTTTAAATATATGTTAACTGTTTTTCTTTCTTTTCGTTTTTTCATCAACTTAAAGTTGAGCTATGTTAAATTAGCTTCTAATTTACAATTAAAGTACCCATGATCTAAAGAAAAACTTAATAAGCCTCAACAAAGTCTGTAGGAGAAATCCTGAACGATTCTAGGAAACGTTGGCTTCTGGTGAATTAGAAAGAGGAATGAATAACTTATTATTAAGCACTGTGATTATTCTAAAGTACTTCTCAGACTGGGTGCTAAGTGATTTGTACTTTTTTCCCCTAGATGTTCCCAGACTTCTACCTAATCTATCAATATTTTACTTGAAAAACCAACAAAGATTATGATTTTATCATAAAAAAAAAAAAAGGATTTCAATTTTTTTTTCACAAATATAAATCTGAAAATAGTGGTTTGAACAGGGATATGTGAAGAAATTATAACATCCACAAAAAGTTGGTTATTGTTCAGGCTGCTCAGTGTTACAGTGGGTAGCACTGCTGCCTTGCAGCAAGAAGGTTCCAGGTTCAAATCCTGGTCTTTCTGCATGGAGTTTGATTGTTCTCCCTGTGCATGTATGGGTTCTCTCTGGGTACTCCAGCTTCCTCCCACAGTCCAAAAACATGACTTCTCTAAATTCTCCTTAGGTGTGCGTGAGTAGTTGTTTGTCCTGTTTGTCTCTGTGTGACCCTGCGATGGACTTGCAACCTGTCCAGGGTGTACCCCGCCTCTCGCCTGGAGATAGGATCCAGCACCCCTCATGACCCACAAGGGATAAGTGTGATGTAAAATGGATGGATATTCAGGTTAGAAGGTGAACCTCATATATTATGAAGATTTATTAAATATTTAGCATTTATATTTATAAGTACTTGTACTCAGTGTCTTCAGCTTATCCTGTTGCAGAGGATTAGGCAGAGACTGCTGAGCAGTTTGTTCCCCTATAGCTGGAACACACCCTCTGGTCCCTCTTCTTGTTGAAGGGGAAAGAAACCCCAGTCTGTCAGCCCACCAAGCGCATTTTAGAGGCCTGTCAACAAAAAAGACACCTGAGGCTCTCAGGGTGATTCTTACCACCTCACTGACTTCAGCCAGGAGTTTCTATGGTCTCTCAAAATTCCTTAAGGGCCTGAGTTTTTGGCTCTGCAGCCATCTTGGTAGCAGAGCACTTTGCCTTAAGGTACCAGCTTGCTGCCTCTTGTGTCAAGCCAACCAGGCTCAAAGGGACTCCTTCTTCAGCTTGACAGCATCTCCTAAGTTCATGGGGGGGCGCCACAACAGAAACCACTGACTTTACGACTTGCTACGGAGATCCGCATAAGCATTAGAGGCAGAGAATGTGGTCCAATCAAACAGGTTGAACATACCCCTGACTGAGGGCTCCACCAGATGTTCTTAGCAGACCCTCACTATTTGCTTCTACGAGATCTATCTGATATCCACCTTTTCCTTTGTATTCAACCCACCAGGTGAGGCTTAGAGGGGGCTTAGATGAGGGAAATATTTAAATATATGTGTATTTACACTGCAAAAAATAGAACTCTATTTTTTTTGCTTAAATTAAGTGCATTTTTTCTTGAATTTAGGAGATAAATGTGATACTTTGCCAATGGAAATAGACAATTTACATTTAAAATAAGAAAAAAAGAATTGCTTTGTCTTATTTCAAGTGCAAATTATCTAATTATCTTGTTTTAGGAGTAAGAATACTCATTCCATTGGCAAATCATCTTATTTATCTGATAAAATTAAGGGTAAATACACACAATTTAAGATTTTATTTTTTTTTACTTAATTCTAGATGGTTTTTGCAGTGTATGTTGTTATGGCATAGAGATAGTTTCTGAAAATCAAAATTTAGTGTTTCATTATATTACAATATTACATAAGATCCTTAAAAAGGTATTTCAAACAGAAATATCAGGCCTTTTCTCTAAAATAGCAGCATGTATCAGAAAAAAAAAAGGCCAAGAGGCTCATTGTAACTCTGGAGGAGCTGTTCTGATCCCCAGCTCAGGTGCTCTTCTAATAAGACAACAATGAGTTGTGCCCCTCAAAAACCTGACATTTTATGTAAATGGTTATTAAAAAGTCGGAGTTAGAAAGTATAGTTTGTCCTTTAGGGTGGCAGCATCATGATGTGTGTGTTTGTTAGAAGAAAGGAGGCAGGAGTTCACCTCTCAACAGGACAACAGCCCTAAAAATACAGCAAGGCAAGGCAAATGTATTTGTATAGCACAATTCAGTACAATAACAATGCAAAGTGCTTTACATGATTAAAAGAGCTGCAACGATAAAGCTGTCAGGAAAGTTTAGCAGGTATCCCGAAAGTCGGTCTTTAAAGGCCGCTCCTGCAGGTTTTAGAAGTTTCACTGCTCCAGCACAGCTGATTTACATTGATAGTTGAATAACAGGCTTTTGCTGAGCTGCAATCATCAGAATCAGCTGTGCTAAAGCAGAGAAACCTCTAAAACCTGCAGGACAGCGGCCCTCGAGGACCGACTTTGGGGATGCCTGGTCTAATTAGTAATCTGTGGAAAGACTTTTTTCCACAGTTATTATTTGATCTGACTGAGCTTAAATCCAAGATTCACAAGGTTAAAGAGACTTGCATCTTTAGGCGCAGTAAAGCTAGATAATTATGGACTGCCTTGTCTTGGTGTATCAGATAAAATATCTTTAAAATTTGCATGTGAATCTGTGAAACAATAGCTTGAAATCCAGGATGAACCTTTAAGCTCAAGCTGTTATCAAAAAAAGAAGCTTGAGTTCATTCTTTTTTGCACATATCCAGTTTCCTCATATATATATGTGATTCCTCGCGGCCTGCAGGAGTTTGTTTTTCCTTATTTTAGGTCTGATTGCATCAGCCGACAGCTTTGGAGTAAAAACCATTTCACACGTCCTGCGATAAGGCTGAAATAGCTCCAAACGTAATCCGTCACAGATCGCCGACTACCTGCTTCAGACTGTAACTGATAAACGTAATCCATCAGATTAGCTCAGCATTCCTGTGCGAGTGCTTCATGTTTCTTTCTTTCTTTTTTTTTTTTAGCTCTTTACCTCTAAGCTGAATTTAAAGAATATATTTTAGTGAAATAATAAAAGAGAGCAGACGCAGTATCTCCAGCGAGTAGCACCAAAAGCTTCATTTTGGGAGTCGCAGATAAGGAAAAGCCTCAAACTGTGGACTTTAAATGTCATTAGACATAAAACGGACTGTCTCTCTGAATGTTTCATGAAACTAAAATACTCCTGACTTTTAGATATTTATTTTCCAGACAGTTTAATTCCCTAGATAATAAATGCACACATCAGTTTTTTGCATTTATCTCTGTAAAATTGATCCTCCTGCTCCACAGAGGAATTACTTTCACCAATTTCCTCTGCTTTTCATAAGAAGGTCCAAATGCATTTGTTACTTAACAAAAAGGGTTTGATTTTTCACTCGGTACGCTTCCAGTTGATTAATGCCGGTTAATTACTGGCTTACAATTTGTCAGACAAGGGGAATATAGTGGGAAAATAAATGAAAAAAGAAAATGTAATAGTTGCAGTTCATTTAACCTGACAGTTCTGGAGTAGAAATATTTATAACATAATTAATATTCGACTGGAATCAGTCCTGTTTTATTAGAAGTTTCTTTAAAACTGTTTTTCCCAATAATAATTATTAAAAAGCTGTATGTAATTTGCATAAATGTGAAAACTTCTATAAAAGTAATCAGATTCTGGGAATACAGCAATGGCTGAAATTTAATTTAAGTCTGCTGGAGCCATGAGAAATATTCAACAGGGAGGCGGTCAGTGACTAAAACAAGTTGTCAGTGTTTCTTAAAGGTATACTGTAGTGCCGGATTTTCTTTTTCCGGGTGGATCATTAAAATAAGTGGTCCTCCTAGTTGTCAATCATTCTGGTGATATGTTTACGTTAAGGCCGTCCTACGAGCTGGTCACCATTTTCACGTTTGGTCAGTCTAATATAGTGGAAAAATTGTGAATCTTTTTTTGGAAAATGCTGGTAAAGGTTCTCAGGCATCCAGGTCACAGTCATTCCAAAAAAAGAAAATTGAAAACAATCCACTGGACTTTGTTTCCAAGTTTGAAGACATTTGGCTTCCCATCCAGGAAGATTTTTCAATTCACATGTCAGGAATAGTGTTAAGTTGGCGGTTTTATGAAGTAGCCCAACAAAGCCTTGTTTTTGTTTTGAAAACATGCAAATTGGAACAGACGAAGGGGTGAACCCCTTTGGAATGGGGGTCGTTTGGCTTCTTTTGTTAGACTGCAATGCCCCAAACCCAACTCTCTGAAAGGTCGGTTGTTCTTTTGCAAAGTAAGCTGGTATGGGCGATGCAAAGAGAAACTTTTAAACAGAGTGCGCACGCTCCCACACGCGTTTAATAGGTGTTCCCTCTGGAGTGGGTACAGGGTTTTGCATGTATATTTTTTTCTAAATTGTAGAGGACTTGTCTTTTCAAAAATCCTCCATTATACATTCAAATATCAGAGGCATCATGCTGCCAGTTTTCACATAAAAAATATATTCTCTTTCTCTCTTTGGAAAAAAAGTCATGTTACAATATGAAACTCACATAAACATTTTGTTCAAGGGCAAGATCCATGCTGTTATGTCTGCCTTATAGAAATATAAATGAGAGGGACAATAAAAATAGCCCCTTGCTTTAAACTGTTAACACCCACAGGTCAGGCATGGCCTGGTTTGAGATATTATACCATTATGGGTAAAGAAAAACTACACTTTTTAAAGTATTCGCACAGAAAAACACAGATCTATAATTTGGATTAACAGATTTTATTTAAAACAGAATCATGATGGATAAACTGAAGGGAAACTCTCCCTCGGCATTAAAACCTGCTAATTTCAGTTCTAAGTAAAAATTTCTAACTACACAGAAAAATACCTTTTTTAATGTTTGTACCTTTTTGGAGAAAGATAAGTATAACAGTTTCTGAAGTGTTTGTAAAAATCCAAATATGTCAGCTTATGAGCTTTAATCAGCCAGCTGACAAGCAGTGGGCACAAAGAAGAAGAGGGGGGGCTAAACTGATTTAAACTTTATTCTCTAATCTCTGCCTTGTCAATTTCTTTGGTGTTTCTTTGCAATGATTTTTAGTGAATAATAGATATTACATTTTTTTTTTAAACCTTGGTTTCTTTGGTAGCCAGCTGATGGCTAATACCTGTCTTTGGGTTGACCTGTTATAAGTAGCATTCAAGATAATAGGTAATTATTGTTTTAATGAAAGTGTTTTGATTAATCAACCAAAATAACAGTGCAGTTTTGCTGTAAATTAGTAGTTTTATTTCTATTCTCTACCAACCTGGTGGGGATTTAAAATGGGTCTCAGAAACAGGCAATCCTTGATGGGATGATTTTAATGCTTGAATGTAGGACTCAGTTGACAACTAAAGAACGTGTGTGATTAAAACCAATTTTTATTATATTTAATACTATAAAACACAGTTTTTATGAATAAGAACAGGAGAGGATTAAACAGGTGTAGAAACCAGACTTTAGCTACTAGACAAACATTACATGATGTCTAAACAACATTTCATTTACCAACATAAAAGAAACTAATTTAGTTTTATCCTGGAATGATCAGGTGGTATCCAGGTGTGGTATGTAGACCCCCATGTATATTTCAAGGCAGGAAATACCTTTTAGTTGGATAGATGAGGTTTAACAAGAGGTGAAAATGTAGTTCACCTTATCAACATCGGCTTCTAACAAAGCTGATAAAATAAATAAAGATAAAATAAATAAAGAACATAAAAAACATTTCCAGTTATTAAGGACATTATAAAACAGCCTTAAAATGAATCAGAGCTTAGTTGGGAGAGCTCTGTACGAGCATGAAAAACACTGATAACCTGAAATACTGTTTACACACAGGAAGAAATTCAATTGAATTGAATTGAATTCAGTTTATTTATATAGCGCCAATTCACAACACAAGTCATCTCAAGGCACTTTACAGTTCAAGAAATGAAATAATAATTACAAGTTATTGAATCAGAAAGCCTTTTGTTGAAACGAGTACAACAAAATGACATTGTAATTGCAAAATAAACAAAGCATATAAAAAAATATATATATATCAATATCACATAGACAGGCATACCACTAGTTTTTTCACAGTAATTTAGATTAGGTATTAACTTTTATTGTTTGTATTTAATCTAAACTGAACATTTTCTCACACTGAGAATGAAGTTAAGATGTAAACTGTTGTGCTAGATGGCTCAAAAAGCTGATTTGCCTGTTTTCTCTCTGACTGTTTTTCCTCAGTGGGTCCCCACATCGGCAGATACTGTGGCAATACGTCCCCAGGTCGGGTCATCTCCCACACTGGCATCCTGTCCATGACCATCACCACGGATAACGCCATCGCCAGGGAAGGGTTCACGGCCAACTACACGATCCGGGAGAGGATCCTGCCAGCTGGGCATGAGGCCGAGGGTGAGA